CAGAAATGTACCCGAGCAATATTGCTTGGTTTCCAGTGTTTCGGAAATATGATCGACCACTCGGAGTCCTTGTAGAACTGTGGAGTGTTGTAAACGAAATCCGAACTGATGGGAAGGACAATTTTGGGATTCTATAATGGGTAGGATTTGTTTCAGGAGGATCTTTTCAAAGATTTTTGAGAGGATTGGAAGTAGGCTAATTGGTCTGTAGGAAGTAGAGGTGTTGGGAGGTTTGCCTGGTTTTGGAAACAGGATAATAGTGGAACGTTTCCACAAAAGAGGAAAGTGGGTGGTTCTTAGGATGGTATTATATAGGAAAGTGAGAACTATAACAGCTTTAGGAGGATGTTGTCGAAGGATTTGCGAGGTAAGGAGGTCGTATCCAGGAGATTTACGGAGAGGAAATTTTTGTAAGTGATGTTTGACCTCGGAAGGATTAACTGCTTTAGGGGTTAGTAAAGTGGAATGGGTGATGTAAGGAATTTTTCTACTGTTGTGGTATGGGTTGAGTTGAATTCCGGATGTGAGGTGAATGTTTTGGAGAGGTGTCTGGCGAATTCCTCTGCTTTGTCTTTATCAGAAGCTGCCCAGCAGCCATCGCTTCGGCGGAGGGGATAGGAAATATTATGGGATTTAAGGATTTTGTTGGTGATCTTGCCTAGAGAATTGTCGTGAAGAGAGAGGGAAGTAAGGTAGGAGTTGAAGGATTGGGATTTGAAGGTGTCTAATTCCTGCTTTAATCGTTTACTGTAATAATTATAAGCGCGGCGATCGGTGGGGTGTTTTGAACGTTGCCATAATATCCTGGTACGGCGTTTGATGTGAATTAGGTCTAGCAGGTATTGAGGTAAGTTATTTTTCTTAGGATTTTTTGAGGAGAGATTTGGGGAGAAGTCCAGATCAGCAGTCCAGATTGCTGATGAGGAGACCTAAACCACTGTGGATGAAAAAATCAACGATATCAGGATTGCGGTTAGGATCTGTGGCCCAGTAGGTAGGTGAATTGGCTGGAAGGAGGGCGAGGAGGCCCAAGGAAACGTTGGGATTCGAATGCAGACAGCAATGTTCTGCCACGAGGATTCGTGCTTCTTGAACCCCATTCTTGATGCTTGGTACTTAAGCTTGCACACAGGATGAAATGATGACCTAAGGACTTGGGGAGAGAACAGAACTGAACTTTGGATATAGATCTGTTAGGAGGGCAATATGCTGATGCAAGGGTGACTGGAAAGGAGAAGGTTTTGATTACAATAACGGTTGATTGTAGGAAATCATGAGTAGGTAATGGGAATAAGTGATGAGAGAGGGATTGGTGTACGATGACAGCAGTACCGGCATATACTCTACCGTCAGGATGGTCAGTAAGGTATGTTATGTACTGTGGAATTTTTAAATGCTGTTTTCTGGTCAGTCAGGTTTCTGTAATTAGTAAGGTATGTTATGTACTGTGGAATTTTTAAATGCTGTTTTCTGGTCAGTCGAGTTTCTGTAATTAGGGCTAAGTCAATGTTCTTGTCTTGTAGTAAAACTGTTAGTTCGTCAACAGTGCGTTATTTCTAACACTATTGGCATTCCAAAGGAAAATAGATATGTGTTTGATGGGAGTCATTTAAAGATTTTTCACAGGAGGGGTGAGGTGAGATATGAGATTTGTAAGGAGTGATATGAGTGAGGTAACCATTGATTCGAATTCAATGAGGAATGATGACAACAAACTGGAGGAATATGAGGTTGTTGATGATGACCAGGATTTTGAGGTTGGGGTTGAGGTAGTTGCTGTGGCAGGGCTTCACATTTATTAGTTGGGTTCTTACCTCCAAGTAGTTCAGAGAATGATAGATTATTATTAACAATTCTAGAAGGTTCTCTTCTTGGTCTGGTTGTCTCATCTTGAATCCGGTTTTTCTGGTATCTGGATTCAAGGTTCTTATAGGTTTGGCAGCCTTTGTAGTTGGCCGGATGTCACTCTAGGCACAGGGTACAAACTGCAGGATCTTGTATAGGTTTGGTGCACTCTGCTGATTTGTGTTGTTCACCGAATTCCACGCAACGCAGCAAGTGGTGGCAATAAGACTTCGTGTGGCCATACACCTGGCAATTGTGACACTGCACGATTTCCCTCTTGGAGTACGGCTTCTCTATCTTCACGATAGTGTAGTACAATCTCTTGATTTCGTATATTTTCTCGATACCAGGTGATGGCTCTAGGTCCACGAAAAATAAAGGTAGTGGAACTTTATATTTTACTCCTAGCTGCTCCTTCAGAACATTGGTTACCTGACGTACTTTGAAACCAAGCGACGTTATTTCTTCTTTTATCACTTCAGTTGGGGTTGAGGAGTGCAAATTTCTTATCACCACTCGTAATGATCCCTCCTGTTTCAAATGGTACTGATAATACCGCATATCATAAGAGAAGAAAAATAAAATAAAATGAAAAATTAAAAAAACAAAACAAAAAACATCAAATAGTAAATATCTACTGCTCTGATGTACACTTGAACTGTATTCAGTGAATAATCAGAGATTCCCCTGAAAAATAGGCATAAACTAAGAGAAGAATTGAGAACATGACCTTCGCATCTGCTGATCCATTGCCTTGATTTTATTATTTTTAAGAACAATAAAAATAGTTTTCCTGTGGCACAGTCCAGTGCACCTTCCATGGTGGGACTGTGCCTTGATATTCTCTTATCCAGAAATCACCAGGACCTTAGGGAGAAAAACAGCCTTACCCCAACAATAAAAAATAAAGATGAAACTTGTCAGAAATTGCCCTCCTCAAAATAACTGTTAAAAAGGCCCAAAGACATTTTGATGGGGAGAGGAGGTCAGAAAACTGATATTATTTAGTTTTTGAAAATATCTAAAAAACTGTGATTTTTCCTGCAAATATTGTTTAGTACAATATTAAAGTACTTTAAAATCTCCATAAAAATGACCATATACATTTTTCTGATAAAAATCAGTGGTTATGGAGGTATTTTTGAGATTAAATTTATTGTATTTCCACTTTAAGCAAAAATTGCTACAAACCAATTAATTAATGTTGTTCATAGTAGACGATACCTTTATGATGTTTAATTAGTTTTTTAAACATTTTGATTATTCAAATCATTATCTAAAGTTTTTTTCTTTTAATGATTCTAAAAAGTCATTGACAAGAGAATTTTATTCAATGAATTCTATGAAGAATTTCATCATATTGATATGAAGTTTAGATTGAGATTAATTTCATAAAATTGATATGTGATAGATGACATTAAAACTTATTAAAAGTTACCATAAACCATGGTCTGTTTACATATATAGAACCAGGAAACTTAAATTTTGTAATTTTTAAACCAACCATGTTTTATGTTGAATAAAAAGCAATAACTAAGAAAATGTTTAATTCAGATTAGAACCAATTACTTCATAGGTAAACTAGATTAATTTTATATTAAATACAAATAAATATTATCTTTTTACGAACTGTACAATAAGTTTGGTTTTTCATAAATTCAAGAATTTTTTTACAAGCCCCCAACTGGTCTGAAGATACCACACATTCAGAAAAACTTACTTGTTTGATGTGCTTTACGTCTATATCAATTAAGTTGAGTTTACATTTTCTCTAAATGAGTAAAAATATTATCAGCATGGTAAAATTAGAAATCAACCCAAATATTTTTACATCTTTTAACTCGATTAGGGATAATTCACAACTTACTCTGAAACAAACCACAACTTAATTAATATAGGCTTAAGTATATTAAGCTTTAAAGCTCATCAAACAAGGAAGTTTTTCTGAGTTAAATTCAGCATATAAAAAGGAATTTTTAGTTTCATTTAGTCAGCGACAAACAGAATTACTTTTTGCTTACTGAAAAATGCATCAGCGACAAACAGAATTACTTTTTGCTTACTGAAAAATGCATCAAATACATCCATAGTTTAATGACTTAACTTAAAAATCATAAAATAAATAAAAAAAAAAAAAAAAAAGAAAGGGAGGAAAAGGGATTTTCTTTCACATTAATATCAACCCAAGTATAACATTTTTGATATTTTTTTTATTTTTTCTTTTTTTAGCAAAAATACATGAGCACCTAAAATAAATTACAAACAAAATTTATCACAAACTTTATTAAGTTGTTTTTGTGAATGTAAAGGTTGATTTCTACAATTATAAACATCAATAATTGTACTAAATGATTGAATGCAACAAACATTAAAATATATAGTAAACTATTGGTATGAAACTGATTTATGGATGTAAAGAAAAACAAACCATATGTTAAAAGAAACAAACTATGTCACACTAATAGTGAATTCAAAGGCAATCATTAATCTGTGAAAAAATAGTACCCCAATCATATTTATCAAATTGGAAAACAAATCAAATAAAAACTTCAACAATTAGGAAGGTAAAATTATAAATTATCTTTACAACAAGTAAAGTAAATATATAACATCAACAATGCAGTACTAACTGCATAAACTATAAATAATGGAAATAATCAGAGTATTTAAAAGATAAAATAATCTTTATTATTAGAATTAAATTTTTGGCATTAAGAAAATAAATTATTAAAGTAAGAGATTAAAACTAATTTCGTAATTATGAATATTTGTAACTAAAAAAAATAAAATAATAAAAAACAAATTAAATAAATAACAAGATTGAAATAATTAGTATTCTGCTGCTAAATTTTAACATTAGACAGCAGCATTTAAAATGCAAACTTTTTTTTTTTTGATTTTGGTTCAATATTAAATCACAATAAATTTATTACTATAACTTATATACATATTCATACAAATTTACAGGAAAAAATACAATGTATGTATATTAATTATATTATCTCATTTAAATCATTTTTTGGAAATGAAGTAGAAAACAAATAAAGAAAAAATAAAAGAGAAAGTGAAATATTTAAAAAGTGTAACAAAATACTGAACACAAAGAGAGTCAACTATGCATAGCTAAAAAAAATAAAAAGTCAAGCACTAGAAGTTCACTTTCCATTAACTTTGGCTTCATTTATATTTGTCTCTGTTGTATCTCTGGATTGGTAAAAAAGGATATATCCAGTTTCAGATGATTTCTGAATATCTGAAGTCAGTCCATAGAAATCATCTATTGCTGATTGATCTATTTTCTGTAAAATAAAAATAATATTATAACAAAATACAGTAAATTTTTTCTCCTAATATTTCTAACAGAAGTATTTAAAGTAAAGTATAAATACTTAAATTTTCTTAGAAATTGTTAAAAAAAAAAGAAGAAAAAAAAAAGCTGTACCACTACAACTCATGAAGGGTCTTGGATTCAGTACTATTTAGGGAAAGTACTGTTTCAAGGGTAGCGGTTGTGCAGGGAGGGGATCTAGCCAGGATCAGCTCAACCGCCAGGTTTTCCTCCTTAATCAATTATTTAATTAAGGGTACCCACTTTATAGAGGTGGGGTGTGCCCCAGGAGGATCTCCCTATCAGGGTCGCCTCACAGCCAAAGAAACAGAATAAATAATTTTTCAGCCATGAGCCGGGATTCGAACCTGAGAACTTGAGCATTGGAAGCTTAGTGCCTTACCACTGAGCTGCCCCGCTCCCCTAGAAATTGTTAATTTCTTACATATATAAAGTAAAAATATATTGATGGGTATTGTCGGGTCTAAGGATCATCCTGATGTAACTGGTTACATCAATGCCAAAACATATAAAGATAAAAATTAACAGCTAGCTGATATATACCAGCTAATAATCAACTGTCATTTTGAAACAAAAGCGTGGATGATAATGTAGAGCTCTAAGGGTTTTTATGGGGTGACATGTGACTTTGGAGTTGAAATTTGGAGAAAAAAAAATTGGCTGCGCAGTCTCAGGGAAAAGCCATGGACAGATATCATTTATGTGAGGTGGTAATGGTCGAGTGTATTAATGCATAAACTTCAGAATACTTGAGTCTACTAACACGCGGACGAACCACAACTTTCCCACTCTGGTTCAAATAGGTTTGGTTGTACCTCAATGACAACCCTCCTCCCCTCCATATGCCAGAAATGGCTAGGTAGGAGTAATAAAAACATAAAAGATATTATTTATGGAAATTTGGGGTTCTAGATATTTTGAAACTTTGACTCAAATTTTGAGGAAGGAGAGATAAATTATATTTTCTTGATTGATTACAAAAGTTTCAAAATATTAAACACGAATAATAAACAATACATGAATAATGATATTTGTAATGAATAAAACCAAAATATGAAACAAAAGAAAATCTTGTTTGGTTTAGTTAGGCATAGAGGTAGTATGGTAGGTTTGTTTTAGTGAGTTGGACTCAGCATATATATCAGCTTCTTTCAGGCTAAATTCTGTTATAAGAAGTCTTTCAATTTTTAACCATTTATATCAGCTATCCCACAGGTGAAGTTAAACGAAGATATTAAAGTTGAAAGATCATATTGGCTTTCAACTTTCACTGAATTCCCAACCAAATTCTAAATTGCCTCAAAATTCTTGATGGGTAAACACTATGGATTTGCCCACTAGGCCTTTGGCCTAGGTGTGCACAAGGCCAGGACCCACATTTTGGTTCTGTTAAAAAAAAGAAAATTCTTAATTGATAATAAGATATGTTATGCAAAACCCACAAAAAAAAAAAGAAAGACTAAATGTTCATGCCATCAACTGAAACCAGAATGTTAATAGCAAGTTCCAACATATAAAGTTTCAACTATATCAGAATTCAGAAAAATTCCATTTTTATACGTGAATAAATGTAGCACATTTGATTGCATCCTATACAAATTTCAGCCTAGATTAGAGAAATAGTGGATAACTTTCAATTTCAATTGCTGTTGAGATAAGAGTGCTTCTGAAGTACAGTTTTTTGCTTTCAAAGTAGGCTGTTAATATTGGTTTAAATACTTATTGGTTTATTAAGCATAAATACTGTAGATTAGTAAGGATTTGTTTAAGGGGTTCATTTTATTTTAGTTTCATAATAATTTTTATTTTCTTTATTTCAATTTTATTTAATTTTTTTACATTGTCTCTGAATAGGGTATGAATGAATCCTTTAACACTATTAGTATGTTATTGCAATTTTTCAACAATAAAAAAAGTATCTTTTCCAATTTAATTTAATACTCTGAGGATATATTTTTAACCAAGAAAATAGTTAGTTCACATATACTTACATCAACCATATCATCATCAAATAGTAACCAAAAGTCATGGCTTTTAACAATGCTTATGTAATGGCCTCTATTCGGACCACTTCCACAATGTATGACCACAGCAACCAGGTTATACATTCTGTCAGGATTCACTGCATCATCAGACTAGAGAAGAAGGAAATGGAATAAGAAAAATTCAAAATTTTGCTTTAATTATTTCTTAAATGTCTACCTTTACTTTATAAGTTTACTAGAGCTATACATACATATTACATATTAATGTAAATTATAACTGATACTTCTATAACTACTAACCCACTTAATACCAAATAAAATAAAAAAAATCTGCATCCCAAAATTCTTGAAAAGGACAAGGCTAAAAGAATATAGAGGTATTTGGTATTGGTAGGAGCATAATGATCAGTCATCGGAAAATCAAAATTTTATTGGTACATCATTTAAAAGTAACTTATGATTTTACTGTAGCTGTATGAAAGGAATGGCCAATAGTTAATTATACTATAAATATTGATAGCCTACAAACTATACTGATACACAGTTCTTCTTAATTCTCTGTTAAAATAAAAATTTAAAGAATATCTGATTGTGATTATTTCAACTATATTCTGATTAATATTATGAAGCCAAATTTTTTGTTAACCTTTAATAATTAAGCTTTCAAATCCACAAAAGGCCAATTGACATAATTGATAACATTTAATAAAAGAGAACAAAAAGGATAAAGTATTACGGGACCATCTTCCAATGTACAGAATGTTATAATTTATCCATTCATGGGTATAACTTTCTCCTCATTTTCTTCCCTCGAACTTCTGTCCATAGAGTTCTCAACATAGTACCCAGAATTAATACAGGTGGTGATGCAGGATTCCTAATGAGTCTAAAATAACAGATTCCACCATACTCAACAAATGGTTTTTTTTTTTCCGCACCCAGCTCTTCCGAAAAATCAGCAGTTGAAGGTGAAATCGCTCCTATACTCCCGAACCGAATATTCTCACTCACCAAATTCCTCTCTATATTTCTCTTGGAGATACGGAATGCATCTTTTATATATTTCCTCTACTTCTTTTTATATCTTGATACTCATCGTTTGTTTCAAATCTAATAGTAAGATCAACTATCAGAGCCTCTTTTCCTTTTGTATTAAAGGCTAAGATATCTATGAATCTCGCTGAGCCTTCCATATCAAGGCAATACACTTCGAGGAAGCATCTATACTTTTTTGTCTCCATGAATTCAGCAATTCATTGTTTTACATTATTTATTGCACCAGCGAGTGACAAGAAGCATGTTATCCGGACATTGGCCCAATACATGAGCTGGGCTTTCTGACTATTGGCCACATTTGCGGCAGAGGGGTCCAACATCTCTATTCGCCTGGCTTCTGCTCCCTGAAACTCCACGAAGAGGAGCATAGTTGACATTTAATTTCAACACATTTGTCCACTCTCAGCTTATTAGAATCTTCCGATCATACATAAACTTGTTAGCCCATTGAAAATGGGGCACATATATTCCCTGCCATTTACATTTGCACCAATCCTCAAACAAGTTTTCTCTCAGAGACTGCCTAACTTTCTTGACTGATTGTGACACCTATAGTATTTGTTTCAAAGCCTAACAGATCAGCACACTTATGAACTTCATTCCCAAAATCGAAAATAGCCTGAAACAGGCCATCCGGTAAATTGGCTAATTTTCTTTTAAATAGACCAGTGTTGAAGAAGTGCCTGTCACTGACACCGCAAAAGAACCAAGTCCCTGTAACGCCATGGCGCATATATCATTGCCGAGCACGTGTTGGCCGGTAATCTGATCATCGCCTTAAAACTTCTCCTTATAATGATATCTAAAGCTTCCAATATAGATGAGGGCAATTTCGCCAATAGTGCTGTCTGTGGTGTATATAGTAAAGAAGGAAATACAAATCCATTTGTTATGTTATGTTTCTGATCTGGCTTAAGGAAATCCGAATTGACTAATTTTTCCATATTTCGATTCATCCTACCCACAGATGTATCATCGAATTCCAGCTCGCCGGAGGAATGACATCCAAGGTATTTGATGATGTCACCTTCTTCAATTGACCTTATTTCCTCCCCGGTATCCAAGCAGAACTATGACCTTATCAATCTTTCCTTCTTCAATATAATGCCAGAACTTTTTTGGGGGTGATGAATAGGATGAACAGATGATCCTAACCCGCAGAACATTTTCCAAATGTTGTTAATGGTTATTTCTGCAACTTCAATGTGATCTTGTGGGTTGTGGTTATGGTCTAATTTAAGGGTATAAATTTGTAGAATACGGGTGTATTCTACTGCCCCTTTTCGGTCGCAGAGCTCTATATAAAGTTGTTTAGTGAGTCAATACTCAAATTGAATAACAACGGTGATAATGGTCCACCCTGGAGTAATTTTCTCAAAAAATGAATTGGTCCAGTCCTGTTAACCCTGATATTGATCCTAATGAATTAAAATAGTCATGGAAGAAAGGAAATTTCCATAACTTCTCACTATTTAATTTATTTTATTATATATCATTTTTATCCATTTTAGAATTTAACATTATAACTAACTAATAAAACTTTCTGTAGCTAAAAACCACATCACTAATATATAATGGTTTTATATCATTTAGCACTAATTTGTTTATTTTTATATAGATATAATTCATTTATATAAAGATAGAAAAATTAATACAACTAGAAAATTAGATCTATTGAATTCTAAACAATGCATTTATTTAAGTCGGGCAATAAGTACTCTATTATTTTGTTATAAAATAAACAATAGTCAAAATATATTACCGTGTTAAAAAGTCGCAGCTCCAAAGGAAAAACAACTCTATGTGATACTTTAATGTGTCTATTATATTGCTCCATATACTTAAATCTCTTTAAATGTAGAGCGAGAATCATAGGTAGTTTTTTAACCCTCATACATTTCTAAAACATAATAAATATTATCAATTACTACTGTCAAATAAAAACATTAATATTGCTGGCCATGGCCTACAATAAAATAAAATAGTATATAAAATGAGTAATAACATATGTGGGCAGACCAAATATAAAAAAAAAAAAAACTTGTTACTGATAGTGATGATTAGATAGAGCAGAGGGTGATACCAGAAAGTTGTTTCACCTCCTAGAACAGAACAATAGGGGAATGGAGAATTCTAGCTTAAATTTAGAAGGGTAAATTGATGAGTCTAACAGTGTTTAGCAAAAAGGCGAAAAGCAAGAATTTCTTCTATCCCCAAGGAATGGAAAGTCACAGTTATAGTACCAATATATAAGAAGGGAAACAACAGGAACTGCAACAATCAAGGTATTTCACTCCTTGGAGTGCCCAGTAAAATACACTAAATATAATAAATATAGAAATTGGAGAGGAGCAATACGAGTCAAAGTGACACACATGATCTTCTTTTTTTCATTTAATTTTCACCATGCGAGATTTTCCACCAAGATTATTGAGAAGGATAAAGAACTCTCAGTGTATTTCGTGGATCTCTGCAAGGCCTCTGACCAAGTTAGGAAAAAGGATATAATTGCTCTAGTAGGGAAAGATGTAAATAATGGACTTATTAGGCCGTAAGCAGTTTTTACAGCAAAACCAGGAATCTTGTTAGAATGAGGAACTATATCTCTCGAGAGGTCGAAACAACACTAGGCAAACGTCAGAGGGTTGTAGCCTGGGTCTTCTTCTTTTCCTGTTTGTTCTCGATCTGGCATTGGGGAGAGCAAGGTAGAAGATGTGGAGTTTCCAGTTGGGTCACAGGGACCTGCAGCCTACTCTTTACTCCCTGCTGGCACTTGCTGACAACCTCGTGATATTGGCCCAGAATGACCGTGACCTCCAGAACAATATTAACACTCTCAAGGAAGAATGGAGAGATGTAAATAAATGAAATGCATGTGCATTGGAAGAAAACATTATAGGGTTATTGAAAGTCGATGGTGAGAGTTTGGAATAGGTAGCTCAACGAAAACAGATTTATTGATGATGAGATTAGGCAGAGAATAGAAACTGCAGGAAGGATGTTCTGCTCGGTCAGGAGAGGCTTTTGAAACCGAAAAGAGAAAACGAAGAAGATGATCAACAGATCAGTATTCTGACATATTATTCTGGGTCCTAAACACTCGCTTCGCGGCCAGATTCAGGCTTTAGAGATGTGATACCTGCAAAAAATAGAGGAAAAGACTAGGTAGGACAGGATTTGCAATACAACCATCTGAGCCAACCTTGAGTCAAAGCGGTCGAAACCATTATAAAAAAACATAAGTTGAGATGGTTTGAGCATCTGTGAGGGGTGGAAAGGAACCGGAGACAAGAGCTAGTATGGGAAAGGTCCACGAGGTCCAAGCTCTACAAAAGGCAACCTCACACTGTTTAAGTAGTAAAGAGAAATTAGATTATGATGATGTAATGGTGTTAGACTCCTTCTAACTGCCACTTTTTCTTGAACTTGTATAGAGATGAAATTTATTTTCTCCATGCTAAACCACAATGCTATAAAACAAGAAAGAAAAAATAGCCACCAACAAAAAATTCCTGACTGGCAAAAGAAAATGTTTTCTTATTGTCTAGGGAAAATTGACAAATACAAATTAAACAGATAATTTGTGGACAGGTGGTATAAATCGTTGTAACAAAAATATTTGAAAAACCATGAAATGTTACAAAATAAATAATAGTTGATGTAACCAAATAATTTTTTTTTATTTTTACCCATTGTGTTTTTTGGGATATAAATGGGTCCAAAAAATTTGTTAATAACCATTAATTAACTAATAAAAAAAAACTTTATCATCCATCTGTTTAGGTTAGCATTCAGTTAAACAACATGACACTAAAATATTAAGTATAGATATATTAAACATTTTGTCTTTAATAGAACAAGTTTTTATTAAATAAATTAAGGATTTATTAGAATTTATCATAATCTTTAATTAAAACTTGAATAGGGCGGCAAAGGAAAGACTATAATCAATAAATTCTATGATGATCAGGCTCTTTACCAATGATAGTCTCTGCATACATTATTATTTATACCTTACAATTAGAATAGCTTTCAGTGTACCTGTACCATTTTCATCTCTTTTATCTTAACTTTGTCTATTTAAAAAATAAATGATTGGAGCAGCGTTCTTCGTTTTCTATTATTATTTATCTTAGAAAACAGAAACTTCTCTTCATGAAACACAATCTTACCAAGTGCTAATCTACATATATAAAAATGAATGAAAACATATATAAAAGATGTCTGTCTGTTTGTCCTTTATGCATTACTAAACCATACATCCGATCGCCATGAAACTTTGGGAAGTTGTTGTGTACACTCCCGCGAAGATTTCTGGCATAGTACTTCTATTTTACGATGATTTCATATGAATGAATGAATGAATGAAAATATATTTTATTATTCTGGGAATGTTGTCCCTTTAGAACTATATGTGTAAACTATACAAATGTAACTGTTTTTTTTGTTCAAAGTCACTATTATTCGAAAGTTCTTCCTTTTTTGATTGATAATATTTATATTTATTTGAAAGCTTCCTGAATTTCCTACCAAATAACAAAATAGATAAGAATTATCTCCGAAATGAAACAATTTGTAGCGGCCGTAGGAGTAAAGTGGGTTAAAATATTTTTTTAAAAAGAAAGTTGAGATTTGTATTTCGCATCTCGATAAACCCTCAAATACCAATTTTCACTGGAATCGAAAAATAATTTTTTTGTCTCAAATTTTCATCAAGGGCAGGACCTTTGATTTTATTTTGGAAAACCACAAAAAGTGTGATAACTTAATCATGGCTCCACTTATACACACAAAAATAAGCAGGGATTTAGGGCCACGTAAACTGCACAAAATGCAACAAACCCTTCCCCTGTAAGCATATTAAAACTGGAGATAAAAGTGAAAACACATTAGGAGATATTTTTTATTTATTCCTAGTGAAGGCGTTAAATCTAAAAGTTTGTGATATGGTTTTGAAGAACAACCACTCAGCTTTCCAACGGTCATTGAATTATTGAATTAGGAGAAAATCCTGAGGAGTTATGAATTATTTAGTGAATGGTAGAGAAAAAGATTCCAACAGAAAGTGAATTGGTAACCTTAGCAATCAGGTTAACACCTGTCTCTTTATTTTCTCTTCTATATATAAAAATGAATATCTGTCAGTTTGTCCTTTATGCATTACGAAACCATTCATCCGATTACCATGAAAATTTGAGAAGTTGTTGCGTACAATCCCCCGAAGGTACTTCTGACTTACGATAATTTTATATTTCTAAAAATGATAAAAATATAATTTTTTTTTGTTCAAAGCCACTATTGAAGTGAAAGTTCTTCACTGATTGCTTTGAAATTTTGACACAGTGTTATAATAGAATTCAGGAGTGTTTTTTAAACATTTTATTACCGACCAGCTTTTCGTTTCGAAATGGGGGCCACTATAAACTGCAGCACCAAAACAGCTGTAATGATTTTAATGAAACTTGGCTAAAGTCTTCCCCTTGAAACCGGTTTAATTTACATAACATAATTTCCCGAAAACAAGCTACAAAAAATGTTACGATGAATTCAGCATTTTATTTGCAAAAGACTAAAAAAGTACACATTTTTTGATTGAATACCCATATTTATTTGAAAGCTTCCTGAATTCCTTAAAAAAAAATCATCAAAATCGGATGATTCGTTGCAGAGTTTTAAACATTTACTACTTTCTCTTCAGCAAAGGCCATTTCCCTATTTTTTTGTTATTGATTAATTGAAAATTTTATAATTACTGCAGTAATTGAGATTATCATGATTTCAGTAATTGAGAAGTGATATGACTCTCCCTCCTTATGTAGGTCAATACTATTATACGCTCTTTATATTCACATTTTTTATTTTTCCCCCAATTTATTCTGGAAGTAGTATGATACATCTCAGATATCTGATATGCTATTATTTAAAAATACTTAACTCTTGAGTAATAACTATCACCGTTTATGTTCTTTTTAGAAACCATTTTTTATTGATTTCAGTTTATTTTATTTTTTAATAAATTATTTTCTTTAACATTACGTAGGAATAAGGCTGTGCCATTTACCGTAGGGTTTCTTTCATGAGTAAGGTTTATTTTTCCACTATAATTTTTATAACTCTATATTTAATCAAGTTGTTATTAAGAAGAAGCAAGTAATAAAATATTTTAGGAGGGGTATGCGAAATCTTTTGAGGAAAGTGGAAGGCATCTCTAATGCACGCGAAATGAACGCTATGGTAAATGGTATAGCGCAATTTCAATGCATTGCCACGTTTGAAAATCTTCAACATTGAAACAGTATTGTAAAATATATTGAACCGCATGTGCTGCTTTTAAATTTAACTGATGGTGCGTTTTTAATAAATATACATAGTTTCACCTAATATTTTATAATAGTAGGTATATTAAACCAGGTGCGTACTTAAATGCAACGTTAAGCCAAAATTTCAAGGCAATGGGTTTAAGAGTTTGAACAAACGAACATTTACATTTTTATTTGGCATAAAATAATCAACACAAAGTTGAACATTAAACAATACGTAAACATAATTAATAATAAAATTAAACATGAAAATATATGAGTGGTTGATTATTGGCTTCATATCAAAAATGGATCTCTGTCATTTTCAGAAAGTGGAGATAAAGTCAATTTTATTTTTATAATATGAGAAGGAGTTAGTCGAGGGTGCGGTAAAATAAGTGCGTTTCAGTGTTTCAACTGCCTCCCGCAGTGCCAAATCCTACGCCCTGAAGATGACCTGCAAAGTGGGTCAAAACGTCGGAAAAAATTAAAATAATTAATATATTTTAATTTTTTATTTATTTTACCGCACCCTCGACTAACTCCTTCTCATACTATATCAACGGTCAACCATCTCTACATCTTTATTTTTATAAGTTCAACTCAGACTGTTTCTGATGATTAGGAATGATGGCGTATTCACTCTGATGATTAAGAATGTTCAAGTTGAATCATGAAAAAAAAATCATTAAAATTAATTTAAATTAAAGCAATGTTACAGACAAATTTGTTTATCAAATTTTTAAAAATAATAGATGTCATTTAGCATTAATCCATTCATATGGGCTTTCTATTTTCTTTTTTCTCCATTTTGCTAAACTGAGCCACAGCAGCGGGTGGCCTAGATTATTCATTTTATATTCATAAATGGTAAAGCTAGTAATAAATAAATTCTATTTAAATGCAAAATAATTGGATAAGCTCTTCCTAATGTTTCATAACTAACATGGATATGTGTAGGGTTAAATTACTACATTGTAGAAAAACAAGAAAAAAAAATAATAAAAACTGGAAAATAAAGAAAAATGATATAAGAGGATTTAACTGAAAAAATCAGACTACAACATAACTAGAAGAGGAATTTAATAGCAGGAAGATTGATTGATACTGTGCGCTATTATGAGGTATATTAGGATATACTTCTCTCAGTCCTACCTATAATGAAAATATTACTATTTATTGTTTTTTTTCAACATCCATTTCTATTAATTTTTAAAATACCACCTAAATTTTTAATTATCAGTATTTATTCAACTGAAATTAAAAGACAAATATAAAAAGTATCAATATATTTATAATGTAATGAAAAGCAGATATTGATAAAACTAACAGAAAAATAAATCAGAATATGTGAATAATTCAAACCTGGGCTTCCTGATAGCTTGAGCAATGATCACATTTAAATTTATTATCTCCACAGAGAGTTTCCATACTGCTAAAACATCTTAGGCAGTGCGTTATAGAGGTATTCTGATCAATATCTACTTGAAGATCAAAGAAATCTTCATCCTTGCTGCTCATCTAAAGTTTTAAAACAACAAATACATTTGAATACAATATGGAAGTAAATAAAATATAATAAACAAAACTAATATTTACTTTTTTAAAAATTAATTTAATAAAAATAATAAAAGCTTAAACATTAAAAATTTTAATATTTAAAAATTAAATAATTTGTAAATATTTAAAAATTTAAAAAATTGATGGTATTTCATTTAATTATATGGAAAAAAATATTATTCTTACGAACATCTCTATGTTGTTTATGAAATATTTTAATGATGTCTACAGAAATTAATTAGGATATAAGGAGTCTAGTAAAAGAGAGGCATATTTTATAGACATGAAAATTTATTTTAAATACAAGTGTTTTTTACAATATCAATATTTAGTACTCTATATACAGTATTTAGGTCACGATAACTGAGCATGTTGAAGCGTTGCTTAAAATACATGTTTCAAGTCAATAAACAAGTCTTGCAAAATGGTGTCATTATGTGGACAGTCCAGTTCAAAAAAGAAAGTAATGAAAAGCTAATTATTTTTAATTGTTTTAGTTAATAATATAATAGTTTCCATGGAATTTTAATAAAAAATATATGTAAAACTAATTTTTTTTCAGCTTGATAAATCAAAAAATATATAACACTCCAAAGGTTCATTAACTTTAACCAGATTATTGATGACCAGTAAAAGCAAATTTTTATGTTGAGGGAAAATGATGAAGAAAATTATGAAACTCAAAATCACACCTTTGACAACCATTCATAACAGTTAAATACCAAATATTGATTAATGATTAATAATTTTACATGAGGGGGAATCATGATTACTATACACAGCAAATGCAGATTGATATTAATAAAGAAAGTTTTAATTACAAAAATAATATAAATTACTCACTGTTTCACAATTTAAACATCTTGTTTCACTTGTAAGAATTCCTTGAAAGATTTCATGAACCCATGTTGGCTCAGGAGTTGAATTTCCAGCATCTCCATCACCATTTTTTGACTTTTGAGGCCTTTCTGCTGTAAATATAATAAAAAACATGGCTGTGAAATAAGAAGCAACTATTTGATTTATTTTATCAAATCATAAAAATTTAATAAGTAAAGAAGTAATGAATAGAAATAAATCGCATTAATATTAGTAAATCAAGAAAGTTATAATGTAAACAAACTATAACAACAAAAATATGTACACAACAAACTACTTACAAAGTATAATCTCATTAATATGATTAATCAAAAAATTTAGGAATTCGTGAGCATCTTGCTGCATGTAGTTGTCAAAATCTTCTGAAAAACAAATAAAACAAAATATTTAGCTATAAAAATATAATTTTGGCATTTATAAATTGCATATCAAAAATATGGATTATATATTAGATATGTTTTCTCTCGTAAAATTTATGGAACAGAAATCCATTAAAAACAATTAATTTTTTGTTAGATGTGGTGCTTGTGAATTAGCCAGTCGACACAAAATCTCCCTTCTTATCTTGTGTAACCTCTAATTATCATTCCATTACTTGCGAGTCATTCAATTGTTTCCAATTTTGTTGTTAATTTTGAATGAAATGAATGAAAAAATAATTTTATTCTGGGAATACAGTCCCCTAAGAATAAAAATAGAGTTACATATTTATGAGCCTTAGTCTGGCTTAGAAGAATACAAAATGATGCCTAATTAACTGGTGATTATTATTACAATTGTGCAGTTGATTGATTTTAACAGTGAACAGATGCAAGTAAATTTTACAAGTTTAAGGAAGTTTGAATATGGAGTAGGTGGTGGAACAGGAGTTGTTTGAAGGAATTTGTGGACGAGGATTTGTAGGAACTCTTTACCTACTTCCATACGTCAAGTAGGTAAAGAGTTCCAAAAAGAGGTAGCACGAATGACAAAGGAAGCAGTTTAATGGAAAGGGGATATATAAATCTAAAGATTGAGACCTGGTATTGAGAGAGTAGATAGAAGATCGTCGAGTAAGGAGTTCCAGGATGTAGAGAGGATTTTTGCTTCAGAGGATTTGGAAAAGGAAAACACCAAGAAGGAATTGTCGTCGGGAAGTAGGATAAAGCCACTTCAACTCAGTGTAATAGAATGAAACATGAGAATGCTTGGTGTTTAAAATGGATATAATAACACTTTGGGAATTGCTGTCTTCGGAAGAAGAAGCTGTCATATACTTTCAGAAGTTCAGGATAACTCCAAAGGTGAAATTGTGTGAAGGTCATGAAATGAGAAAACAGACGAGTGTTTCACAGTAAAAATAAAAGATAAAAAAGCAAAAACTCTATTAGAATGTATTAAAAATAATATATGAGAAGAAGTTAGTCGGGGGTGCGGTCAGATAAATACTAAATTAAAATATAGTAATTATATTTATTTTAATTTTGCCAATTTGTTGGTTCAAAATTTATTTGTTGGCAAAATTAAAATAAATATAATTACTATATTTTAATTTAGTATTTATCTGACCGCACCCCCGACTAACTCCTTCTCATATTATATCAACGGTCAACCATCTCTACATCATTAAAAATAATATAGAACAGAAAAACACTGCATATTCTGATTGTTTGAAAGGATACAACACCCAAAAACTAAATGAAGGAAACTACAACCATTTTCAGGTGAATCAACAGTATAAATTTTGTTAGTCCTCCAAATGGGGTCCATATTCAACACATAAAAAACATTGAGGAACTGCGGAGCAAAACCTGGATTCCTATTTGTGTTAATTTTTGTCTCCCAAAATAAATAAAACGTTTTAAAATAAAAGTGTTTTATATGTATATATGTTGTATAAATGAAGTATCTACATATACATGTTGTATATACAAAGTGTTTATATATGATGTATTTTTACTCCCAAAATAAATATAATATAAAAAATTTAAGAAAGTTAGTTGACTGTTCTACATATCATGGGTGATAAATATTCAGGACACAGTCATAATAAAGTTTTTATTGGTGCCGAAGTTTCAACCCAAACATGTGGGTGGGTCATCATCAGGGCGTGTTTCGAGCACTGAAGGTATTTAAGTACCTCAAATATTTCAGTACTTAAATGCCTTGAGTGCTCGAAACACCCTGATGATGACTCGCATATTTGGGTTGAAATGTCGGCACCAATAAAAACTTTATAATGACTGCGTCCTGAATATTTATCATCCATGAAAATGTAAAATAAAATTGTTTTATACATATAAACACTGACAGGCAAAAAATTCCACCCACTTGATTTTTTCATGTTTTCATCTAAAAATATTTCTGCTTTGGATTGGTCTATTGTTTTTAATGAATAAATAGGTAATCTTTTTGTTTGTTTTCAATTAGGAATGTTAATATAGAGGACAATAACCCTTAATCTTTAATTCAATGAAATGATTCTAGATTCCAATGTTTACTTTCTATGGAATCAAAATGTTTATTCAGTATCATTAGTTCAGTGCCGTTTCTTGCAGCACATTTCTTAGTCTCCGGCTTTTAATTTTTTCAATATTAAGTTTAAAAATGCCTCTTAGTGCTGAGGATGTTGCGCGTTGTGTGGCACTTATTGATGATGGACGTTCCATTAGATATGCAGCTAATGCCATCGGAGTTCCATATGAAACTTTATGAGACACCGTCAGGCGTTTTCGGGAAACTGGTTCTTACAATAGAAGGCCCGGTTCTGGACGGCCTAGGGTAACAGAACCACGGGATGAACGGTTTTTGACTTTGAGAATTTTACGAAACCGGCACCTCACCGTTGTTTAAGCGATTCATCAGCTCGAAGAAGTTCGAGGTGTGCAAATTTCTGAACGTACCGCTCGGAGAAGATTAAATGAGTATGGATTAATGGATTTTCGTCCAGTAAGAGGACCAGAGTCGACCAGAACTCACAGAGTAACACGGCTGGCTTTTGATCGAGAACACAGCCATTGTACTATGGACGAATGGAGTGCTGTACTTTTTACAGATGAGTCAAGATTCGCTCTTCGATCTCCAGACGGGCGTGAAATGTTGTGGAGAAGAAATGAAAGATATGCAGCCTGTAATTTTTCCCAGAGCCAACCTTTCCAACGTGGTTTCTTAATGGTGTGGGCTGGGATTTCAATGGAGCGCTGCACAGAACTGGTTGTTGTTCGTGGAGGGTCTTTGACGGCCATTCACTATGTAGATGAGATTTTGGAACCTCATGTGTTGCTTATCCTCAACGAAATCGGCTATCGTTCTATTCTAATGCACGCCCACCTGTAGCCCCATTGTGCAGACGTTTCTTCAACAGAACAATATTGAGGCTTTAGCCTGGCTAGCACGTTCTCCAGATTTGAACCCCATTGAGCATTTATGGGATAACCTCGGAAGACGAATAAGAGCGCGTGCAACACTTCCTGATACATTGCAGGACCTTGAAAGGGCTCTTCGAGAGGAATGGGCTATCCTCCAGCAAAGGGACATTTCCCAACTGGTGGAAAGTATGCCGAGGCGTCTTCAAGAAGTAGTGAAGGCAAGAGGAGGAAACACGCGCTACTAAACGATGATGTAGTTAATTTCTTTTAGAATAATAATGGTTCGTTTTTCAATTTTTTTTTTCTCCAATCTTTCTTATCCAATCACATTTTGATTATTAAAGGTAAAAAAGATTATAAAATTCCATAAATACTAAGTATTATCTACAAATACCATGTGTTATATACAAATACAACTTTACAGAAATATTTTTAGATGAAAACATGGAAAAATCAAGCGGGTGGAATTTTTTGCATGTCAGTGTATATATGTTGTAAATAAAAGTGATTTGTTATTAATACATTTCTTTTTGTCTATTTCAATTTCCATAAATATGAATAAGAAGATAGGTATTATAAGTTTTCAGGTGATAAACATTGACGGATAGCAGTCCATGGCAACCGGCTAAGTCACAAGTACCTTTGATATTAATGGAATCTGAAATTTTCTTTCTCTCATAACTAATTTAATGGGAAATATAATTTATAACAGCTTAACATAATAATAATACATAATATTATTAGAGACCAGATTTTCGTGAAGTAAAAACCAAAAATATTTAAAATTGTGTACTCAACACCTAAAAACCTGAAAAATCATCTATTTTGTTTAATTTATTATATTAATTAGAGACTGGATTTCTATGTTATAGGACATTTTATTCAGTTTTATCAGATTTTGATGTATTCATATAATAAATTAAACAAAATAGAGGATTTTTGCACGTTTCAAGGTGCTAATTGCAAGATTTTGCACATTTAGAGTTTTTACAGCATGTTTTTCAGATTTTTACTGCAGGAAAATCCGGTTTCTAAACATTATATAATAAATATAAATATAATAACTCGAGAATTGCATGATTTTCCTGTAAAATAACACTCATGAATGTTAAGGGGAATTACTGTGTTTAATCAAATAGAGCTTTCTTTTATTGGCATGAATTTATAGCATAACAGAGTTTTAATAACATCATATAAATACCTTTTTCTTTTCTTAGACGAGCAATAAATTTCTTTGGGGCAATAGAACCCACTTTCTTCTTCTGTGTAGCAATACTGTGAAATAGATCAGCTAAACAAGAAAGTAAAGTTTCTTTGGTTCTTTTATTTCTTGCCTTGTATTCTAAAACCTTTTCTCGGAATGGTTTACAGAAATATAAAGCTTGCAATACAGAGTTACTATAACAGGTATTCCCAAACTGCTAGAAAAAATATAATATCAATCAAATATTAATTGAATTTTATAGACAATTCTTTATATTACAATTTATTTTTTTTTTTTGTAAACATTTACATCTTACTACTTAATAGTAATGAGACTGCTGAAGTATGAAAGGTTTCCCCCGAACTATTTTGATATCTTGTGCCCACTTATTATGGTCGACACTCTCTCTATAAGTACTAATTAAATTATTAATATTACCCTATTACTTTTTTTTCTGAGGTGTCAGAATAGATATGATACACCAATGATTTAGATAGGGGTAGTATGTGTTAATGTTTATCAAATTATTTTGATATTAAACTAATTTTGTATTTGGCAATCCATCTGGAAGCCTCTACATAACAATGAATGCCTTAATAGAAGGCAAAAAGACTATGTGGAAGGACAAAAAGCAGATGGATAGATAGAATCAACAAAGATGCAAAATATCTGAGTGCAAATAAATGGAAAGAAATAGCCCAAGACAGATAGAGATGGAGCAGGCTTATTAAGGCGGCAAAAGATCTATATGGTCTGTAATTCTAACAGAAAAAAAAAAAAATGCACAAGAAAATAATGGCTAAATTGGTTTAATAGGAAGATGTGGAGATTGGTTGTCATTGTTTAACTTTATCGCAGAATCAGATACTTTTAGAATTCGTTCTGAAGTGTGATAATTTAGAGCCTAGCCACCACAACATTAGCCTAAATTCTTCATTCTTCAAGTACCATTTTATCAGAAAAAAACTTTGGCAAACATGAAATAAGATATGATTGGTAACTAATGAAAAACCAATCATTAGTTAAAAAGCAATATAATACAAGAGATTTTCCACGGAGCTAATTAAATAAAAAAAAAATGATAAAAGGTAAACATACAACGTAGTACTTTTGAGGAATCAAAATCCTTAGCACCACTTGTTGGGGCGGACCGTTCTTACTATCCATGTAAGAACTTTCATGTAACTACATATTAAAGTTAATGAAATGTAATTGGCCAAATTTCCATAAATGTAACTAAATTAACTGCTAGTTTATAACTTATGCACTACTATATTAAACATCAATTCTTGATATACTCACGTTAACAAGCCCAAAGTAATGTTCATTTGGAGGAAATTGGTCAGATCCTATATCCCGTTCTAACTGGGAAATGTTTGCTCCCTAGAAAGTGAGAGGACACATTATAAAAAACTATATTCCATCTTTTAAAACAGAGTAAATACCAGTTATTAATTAATCCAAAGAAAAATTAAATATTTTTTTATGTTATGACATAATATATCAGCAAAGTTAATAAATATATAGTTTTCTAGGTAAAAATTCTGTGAAATGAATTGAGAGTAAATAAAATCATAAATAAAATATACATAAATTAATTCAGAAATATTTAAAATGGGAACAAAGCATATATTTATACATTACATATAAATATATATATATATATATATATATATATATATATTTTTTTTTTTTTCTTTTTTATTTGGGTTTTTCTACGACTTAAGGAGTCATATTCGCAACACCCAAAAGCCACTGATCCCTGTCCATCCAATCTCCTTCATGGAGCCCTCTGGCTGCCATGCTTTCCTCTAAGTCCTCTATCCATTTCTTCTTTGGCCTTCCACACCTTCCTTCTTTCAGGTGGCATATAGTTATAAATTTTCTTTGGCCAGCGGTTCTCATCCATCCGCATTAAGTGGCCATACCACTTTAACCGTTTGGTCCCGATCAGGTGAAGGATGTTCTTTTGACATCCGACCTTGTCTATAATTGCTGCGTTTGGGATCCGCTCGATTCTCGATATGCCACAGCTTCTTTTCCAGAAATCCATTTCCATGGAAAGCAACCTATTTTCCGCCTTTTTTGTAATTGTCCAAGCTTCTGACGCATAGGTGGCTACGCTTTCTACAAAGGAATGGTAGATCTTATTTTTAGTTTTTATATATATATATATATATATATATATATATATATATATAGGGCCAACAATCAAAACTACGGTTAAAAAAAAAATCCTCTATGAGCTTCAGTTTCTTTGTAGTTTGTGAACACCATCTTTACAGATGAAATAAAAATTCATAAAATAAATTATGAATATTTATTGGCATCATATAACATCTTTGTTATAATTTCAAACAGGAACACGAACGATGTCAATTAATACTAGCGAAAATTATGATTTATTTAATTCTCCTTAATTATAAAAATTATTATCACCAGAGAGTTGAACAGAGAGGACTGGTGCAGTGATATCAGGGAAGCCAAGGCCCACACTGGACTTTAGAGGGGGTTAGTAAGTGCAAAGTTTTATTATTCAGCTGATAAAGAGTGGATAAAAGTTTGAAAGACAACTGGTTAATATAGCTGAAATTAGTAAAATATGTTGATTAAGATTTCATTAAAATCTAGCTAACTATGAAATGGATAAGAAAATGGACTCGTAACAATTAGGCCCAGGTCATTATGAGAAATCATTTAATCTATTATATCAGCCGTGAATCACTCTGTGATTGATTACTCGATGAGAGTTGAGAGATCCTTCTGGGGCACACACAGCCTCTAAAAAGAGGATACTCTTAAATTGGGGAAAAACTGGTGGTTGAAGGAAAAACAACTGTAACTAAGCCTAAAGAAAAGATATAGACAAATTCTTTTAAACTGGAATAAGAAGTAACAATGAAAAGTGGAGTAATGATAAAATTAATGAACACATAACCTAAAAGAAAGTACTGAAAGTAGTATTCTTTCTTTTAGGTTGGGATGTGAAAAAAAAGTATTTTTTCTGGACATGGAAAATTCAGAGTATGGGACATAAAAAAATAAGACTTCAGTTGAGAGTCAAAATAAAGTATATGGAAAAGGATTCTATAATAAAGTTCTCTATAAAACTCTCCTTTACAATGATGTAAGAACAAAGAGAGAAGAAATAAGCAATCATAAAATACATCATAGTTGGATGAGGAGATATTATAAAAAAAATAAGGTTAAAGAAAAGGTGAAATGAATATTTCTAAGAAGGAACATGAGAAATATGATTACATTGATGAAAAAACAAAACCAAAACTGGTTATTAGTTAAATAAAATTACGCAAGCCACAGTGTAAAATGGCATTATATAAAATTTGTGGTGTAAATGGACAGAATTTGGCAGGAAATTATTGCTTCTGTCCACCTTTAATAAGCCAATAAAAGAATACTGGAAAATATCAGTAAATATTTCCATTTACAATAATGATAAAAGGGAAAACCAAATTAAATACAGTAGGATCTCACTAATCGCCCTGGATAGATGTGCAACCTTTACATGTTTGTTTGGTTACAACATTATTGCTGCTTTTGTGCCTTGTTTTAATTTAATTTGAAGTTTAATTAAGTTATTATTGAAATTAAATTTCAGGGATTTAAGTAGTATTTTGCATGTAACACTTATGTAGATGTTTTTGGTCAGATTTTTACCCTTCATATTTTTACTCCCAAAAGTTCATTCTTTAGATTCTGTTTCTAATGCATTTGCATTGCAATTTTGGTAATTTGGCACTTGGCATTATACTGGTACTAGTGAGGGAACTAGTCCAGCAAGTAGGCTCTATCGTGACTTGGCGTTATAATTTCGTTTTCATATGCAAATCTAGTTGGTTAAATTACACCTGCATTGTCCGGGACAGAATGAAGGATGGAAGAAAGCAGGTAAAAAGTATGTAACACAGGTTGGTGGATAGTCACCTCATTTAGTGCTATGGTTGATGTAAAGCTCATCACTTGGCGCAGCGAAAAGGTCCATGCAATAAAGAAACATATATTATATAGACAACAAAAGCACATCTTGGATCCTCACAAAAAGAAATAGAAGCAAGCCATAGGCAATTGAGATGTGACACTTAAGAAGAAACATGTCATGGCCATGATAAGGAAATGAGAAAAAGAGATCAATAGAAGTTGGCTGGAGGTTGCAGTCAGAGTGAAATAAATACAAATAATTATATTAATTGTGCTAACATTTTGGCCTAAGTTTCAGGCCTTCATCAAGACTAAGCAAAGACATGATGGTTATTATAATAATAAGAAAGAGAAAGATAAAATGGTATGATAAAATGAAGAGAGTTGGAATAGTAAAGAAGAAAGGAGCTGATGGTGGACTAGGAAAGATAGAAAAATTTGGCCAATGCAACAACTGTAGACAAGGACGATTATATCCTTATATGTATATTAAACAAAAAAGAAAAAAGTGCACAATTGGTTACTGACCATTTTAGAACCTACCATAGTACAATCTCTCCCCTTTAAATAATGTGTTACGTTGGTCACCTAACAACGGTCTTTTCAGTTTCCTCTTGTAGTAGTGTTTCAACAACTCTAAAAAAAAAAAAAAAAGTAATAATAATAAAAACTAAAACAACTATCAAGAACACTTAAGTATAAAGTATAACTTCTCACAACACTTTAAAATCTATGCACCTTATTAATATATGAGAAAATTCATCACTTATCTATATACTACATAATTATTGTAAGAGATCTCAATTGTCTATTAAATAAACTTTATTCACTGAAGTGTGGCTATATTTTATTTTTTCACATTGAAAATTTCTGAAATTACACACAATAAAATTATTTTAAGCAGTTAAAAAATAATAGTTGCAATTCTGGTTCTTGAGTTTAGTACAAGTTAATTAACATAAAGGTTATAGCCTTTACAACTGAAGGTTGAACTGATGGGCATAAGTGTTTACTAGAACAATAGATAACCTTCAAGTACTGATCATGATTTACATATGTATATACACTGACAGGCAAAAAATTCCACCCACTTGATTTTTTTATGTTTTCATCTAAAAATATTTCTGCTTTGGATTGGTCTATTGTTTTTAATGAATAAATAGGTAATCTTTTTGTTTGTTTTCAATTAGGAATGTTAATATAGAGGACAATAACCCTTAATCCTTAATTCAATGAAATGATTCTAGATTCCAATGTTTACTTTCTATGGAATCAAAATGTTTATTCAGTATCATTAGTTCAGTGCCGTTTCTTGCAGCACATTTCTTAGTCTCAGACTTTTAATTTTTTCAATATTAAGTTTAAAAATGCCTCTTAGTGCTGAGGATGTTACGCGTGGTGTGGCACTTATTGATGATGGATGTTCCATTAGATATGCAGCTAATGCCATCGGAGTTCCATATGAAACTTTACGAGACGCCGTCAGGCATTTTCGGGAAACTGGTTCTTACAATAGAAGGCCCGGTTCTGGACGGCCTAGGATAACAGAACCACGGGATGACCGGTTTTTGACTTTGAGAATTTTATGAAACCGGCACCTTACCGTTGTTCAAGCGATTCATCAGCTCGAAGAAGTTCGAGGTGTGCAAATTTCTGAACGTACCGCTCGGAGAAGATTAAATGAGTATGTATTAATGGCTTTTCGTTCAGTAAGAGGACCAGAGTTGACCAGAACTCACAGAGTAACACGGCTGGCTTTTGCTCGAGAAAACAGTCATAGGACTATGGACGAATGGAGTGCTGTACTTTTTAAAGATGAGTCAAGATTCACTCTTCGATCTCCAAACGGGCGTGAAAGGGTGTGGAGAAGAAGAAACGAAAGATATGCAGCCTGTAATTTTTCCCAGAGCCAACCTTTCCAACGTGGTTTCTTAATGGTGTGGGCTGGGATTTCAATGGAGCGCCGCACAGAATTGGTTGTTGTTCGTGGAGGATCTTTGACGGCCATTCGCTATGTAGATGAGATTTTGGAACCTCATGTGTTGCCTATCCTCAACGAAATCGGCTATCGTTCTATTCTAATGCACGCCCACATGTTGCCCGCATAGTGCAGACGTTCCTTTAACAGAACAATGGGATAACCTCGGAAGACGAATAAGAGCACGTACAACACTTCCTGATACACTGCAGGACCTTGAAAGGGCTCTTCGGGAGGAATGGGTTATCCTCCAGCAAAGATATACTAAGAGGTATTTTTAAACTTAATATTGAAAAAATTAAAAGCCAGAAACTAAGAAATGTGCTGCAAGAAACGGCACTGAACTAATGATACTGAATAAACATTTTGATTCCATACAAAGTAAACATTGGAATCTAGAATCATTTCATTGAATTAAGGATTAAGGGTTATTGTCCTCTACATTAACATTCCTAATTGAAAACAAACAAAA